CTTACCTTTCCAGACCTTTGATCAGGAACTCTGAAGTTCAAAATGGCCTTTAATCCAGGAGCAGGTTCGTCAATTGTAACGGTGGTAAAGAGCTGGCATTGGCTCCATAAGTCAGTTATATGGTTCACCAAAGCATAAATCCATTTAACATTATTTATTGATTTGTAAGAAATGTCAACAAAAGCACACAAACGAATAAGAAATCTAAGCTTGACATTGTTCTCAGCCACAAAAAAAGGGAATGGAACTTCAAAATATTGAAAACACAAGGTAAGAGCGTAAAAAAACATACATTGGAGCTAGTATCAACTTTAACATCTGTCGTGATATTCTTGTGCTTCAATTGAGCATTGATATCAGCCAAAAACAGTTCCCCTTTTTTTGTTCCTGTTGATGTAAGGGCCTGCAATTAAAGAAAATAAACAAAATATATTAAAATTTTTGAGGTCATACAAACTAAGATTGTTATCAAGACATACCCATCAGAATCATAAATGACAATAGCTGCAATCAGATCTGAACACCGTGAATAGCCAATAGACTTACAAAATCTAATCTATAAATACATAATCCATACAAGAAGTTTCAATAATTCATAATGAACTGCCTTCAAGAGATAGTAGCATACACAATTATTATTTAGACCAGTATATTTTATTTCGAAAATGCTCCAAGTCAGCAACCGATAGATTATATAAATTGTTAGATCAATTGCAAATTCCAATAACAAGCAAAAGTAGTGAATAAGTTTAACTAAATTAGTTCACCAAATGGAGATACGTAACACCAGCAACTAAATTATGAAATGGATTTCTTCTCAGTTGTAGACATCAAAAGTGCTCTAATAAAAAACTGGTAAGAGTATAAGATTCTAAAGTATGTGTCTACAACGAGCGACATATGGATACTGACAGAGAGACAAGACCTTTATACTCAGAAACCCTAGAGTATCTTAGCAATTTGTACATCAGAAACATGTAAAGTCAATAATCTTAGTCTCCTGGATAGAAAAACGCTCGCAAAGCTATCGAAATCAATACTAGTTAAAGAATTCAGTACGCACAATCAAGTGAAGAAGAATCAATCAAATTCGGTAAAATTTAAAACTGCAATCCTGACTCCAGCTAAAAAAACTAATCAGATCTGTAAAAAACATTATTAAATCAATACAAATAAAATACTCACAACTCCAGTAGAAGAGTAGGTGGTAATGGTGAACTTCTGGTCACTCTGGTAATCCCTGTACAACAGGTCTGTTACAAACAAAAAAACGAATCGGAAAACAATTTCACTAAAGACCAAAAAGCGGCAAAATCGCATTAAAAAATATAGAAATAAATAACCATAATTGAAATTTAAGAACGCAACCTCGAGCTCTTTTGCCAATGTCGGAGTAAAGACCTGGACCTTTGCCCATGATTTTTAACCTAAAACTGAAGAATTAAAATGTAGAGCGAGAGAGACTGTGTGGAGAAGAGGAATATATACAAATATAATCAATTTTCTGGGTCAGGGAATTTTCCATATTGAAGGGTGTACATATACGTGTTTGATGTTTCTAGGCGAATCTGGACGGTCGATTGAGGAGGAAATGGTGCCTCGGTTGTATCTGAGCCGTTGATTAATGTATTGGAATACGGGATAGATTTCATTAACTCCCCATAAAACCCCTTAACTGGAAGATGTCACGTGGATAATATGCTGACGGCTAAAATTAATTTCTTTGGTAAAAAGATATCGCATGGTGTATTGTTCCTCAATAAAATGTTTTCAAAATTTTTAAAAAGGAGAAAGTTGGTACAAAAGTATTTAAATTCGAAATAAAAAAAATATCAATTCTTTATGTGGTGGAAAATTGAAAACATATATAAACCTCAAGCCTCGACAAGAATCTCTATTCACACAATTCATTTGCTAATTTAAAATTATAGGACCTTAGTCTACAACAAATCATTTGTCCCCCTAGAGCAATATAAATTTTGAGAATTCACAAAACCATTGCATAAATTTGGAAAAATCGAATCCTAGGTATTATTTCACGGTGATGAATTGGAGTCATCAAAATAATACATATCACTGTACTAACCCAATTACAAAAGTTTCAGAATGAAATTGAGGGGTATCCTTTTGTAGGGCTGTAAGGAAAAATCGTCAAACCGGAAAATCGAATCGAAACCGGTAGTTTGGTGCCACGTGGACCCATCAACGAAATAGTTTTGAACCAAACCAAACCGGTCAAAAACAGTTTGGTTTAGGTTTGAGAATTTTAATTACGGGTTAAAATCAAATCGGATCGGCGAAAAAATATATAAAATAAAAAATTGAATTTTTTTTTTTTTTGAAAATTTATCCAAAATTCAAAATTTGTAAATTCAATAATTTTGTTATTTTGTTATTATTTTTGTCAATTTCTAATTTTCTATTAGTTATTACGATTTACAACCCGCCCAAATCCCAACCCGATCCGCTATCCTAATTTAAAAAAAAAAACGAACTCAAACTCTTACAAACACAACCCTAATCCCCAACCTTCCATTTCTCTCTCTCTCTCTCTCTCTCTCTCTCTCTCTCTCTCTCTCTCGCTCTCTGCTCTCTCTCTCGCTCCTGAATTTTCCTCAAATAGTCGGTAGTCTATGGTTAGAATTTTCAGTTGCTAGTGAAGGTCTCCGGTAGTCTACCGTCAATCACAACTGATAGCCTTCAATCTCGTTGCAAGACTGCGTGATTTATTTTGACATGTGGGTTAGTTCTGTGATTTTTTTTTTTTTTATGATTTTAGTTACATAGCTGCGTATTCTTGATTCTTTAACATGGAAATCGTCTAAATTATTACTAAACATAGTTTGTCATCTCGATTCTTGAAAATTCTCAAATTCGTGATTTTTTGTGACCTGTGGATTATTTCTATTTTTGAAATTCTGTGATTTTAATTACATAGCTGCGTGTTCTTGATTCTTGAACATGGAAATCGTCTAAGTTATCTCTGGAATTATATGACTGTGATTTTAGTTTATTGTGATTTTACTTTGATTTTGTTGGTTTTTAAATTTATAGTAGATATATTTAGTTTATTTTAGATTTATTGCCAGTAAGATATAAATATATATTGAATTAATGGCTAAACAGGCAAAAAAATATACTTGAAACGGACGGTTTAAAACTGAACCAAATCGTTAGGTTTAGGTTTGAGTTTTTTTTCAAATCGGTTAAAACAGTTTGGTTTAGGTTTGACTTTTTCTCAAACCGGTTGAAACGGTTTGGTTTGAAAATTTGTCAAAAACCGGTAAAATCGGATCGCTTACACCCCTATCCTTTTGTTTAAAGATTGTTCGAGCTTTGCTCCACTCCAATTGTGAAATCCGCTTTTATCAATTTAAAAATTAATTAATTTTATCAAATAAGTAAATAAAATAAAATAACATAAACCTAGGATGAATGAATAACGTTTAGAAAAAGAACTTGAATGATTTGAAATTAAAATCAAGGGAAAATTGCATTCACGGTACCAAATATTTCATTTAGTTGCATACTTTATCCAAACTTTTCATTTGTGCCACTTATGATAACAAACCTTTAAACAACTCGCACCCGGAGTCTAAATGGATAAAAATCGTTAGTTTGACTATTAGTTGACTAATAATTAAAAATCGGACCAACTTCGTGCAAATCGAAATGAGATTTCCAATTAAACTCAATGATATTTCAGTTTCACTTGGAAGCTGCAAAATATTTTCTTAGAAAGGAAAGGTATATACAAGAATTTTTTTTACCTCAGATCGCATATTTTTTTAAATGAAAACATTTAAAATCAAATCAAGAATGAAGATATAAACTCGATCGGGAAACTCTTAATGCTTAAGAATATTGAAATATCATTGTAATCTTCTAGTTCCCTTCTTGCTTATTAAAAGTTTGAAATTTTACCTGATAAAGGCTCTGTTTCTGATTGTTAAAAACTTCAATTATGAAGTCATGACAAAGAAATTAAAGAAAGTTTTCAACCTTTGTTAGTGATTATTTATTGTGTGAATGTGTGAATGAAAAAAAAAAGAGTGAAAATAATGATTATCAAACAAGTAGTCGAGTGTGATATTTTAATCAAATAAAGTACGTTTACGATTTTAAAAACAAAAGGGTTATTTTGATTCTTCGTTACATAGTTTATTTTTTCAATTTTCATTTTAATTTCTAGTCATTCTCATTTTGAATATTCATATAATTACAAATATAATTCGTACAATTATCTCATTCTCGCCTCGCCTTGATCAAATTACAAATTAATGATTATTTTTAGTAATTCTTTATTTATATTCAATATTAATAATGAAGTAAATATCGATTATTTAGTATTTGAATGCATAGATCTCTTCGTGGATCTTTAGTTTCTTGTTTCAATTCGAATAAAATGTATCCATAACAATGGCTATTTTACAATTTGTTACAATATTTGATATCAGAGCATGTACCTATTTCAAGACATATCAGATTGCAACACGCTCATCGCATGTTTAGTATGCAGCATAGTCTCATTTCATTCCAGTGGTAGTCTTTTGCAACATTTCAAGATTGACCGCCAATTTAAAGAGTTGATTCCACCGAAAGCATCGCTTCCACGCCTTGATTAACAACAAAAGAATCAGCATTAATGGATGAGAATCCAAGAAAATGATGGAGTGTGACTTTCTCATGCTGGTTGTGATTTTTCCTATGCTAGTTCTTCTCACATAAACAAAAAAACAAAAATCCGGATGCAAACTGATTCTTCCTATTATGCTGCGACAGAGATGGTTTCCTTTGTTTTCATCGACTTTCCTGTCTGTATAAAAGCTGCTTATAACAACTAAAGACAAGATATAATAAAGCCAAAAGACGAAAAAATGTTATAAATACACACGAAAGTACATTATATTCCTAGAAGGCTAAGCATATAGAAGCAGAAAGTGTTCAAAGGGGAAATTGGAGAAAGAAACAGGCAAACAGCATAAGTGGAGCAATTAGATATGGCATTGACAATGATAAAGAGTGATGAGAACGCTAGAAGGCAAAATGTACGCATTATAGACAGTGATCTGTCACCTGAACCGAGGTGTATTAAGCGTAGAAGACGTGACACAGCTGCTGCTGCACTTAGCTGTGAAGGTCAACAGATCAAACAAGAAGTTGATCCAACTGCTCCAACGACAGTGAAACGAAGTTCAAGATTCCGAGGTGTAAGCAGGCATAAATTGACAGGTCGATATGAAGCACACTTGTGGGATAAACTCTCATGGAATGTAACTCAGAAGAAAAAGGGAAAACAAGGTAACTTACTTGGACTCATTAGCCACTATTTTCAGCTATATTTCTACCCAATGCTGGTACCTGACATGAAATCTTCTGTTTTCTACCATGGACTGCTCTGGCTGCAAATAAACAGTCTATCTTGGTGAGTATTATTTAGCCAATGAAGTTTTTTTTTATCTTATATATGTATGCATGGATGAAAGTAAGACAATTTAAGACTCGGGCATTGATTTATTAAACTTTCTCAGGGGCGTATGATGATGAGGAAGCTGCAGCAAGAGCATATGATTTGGCTGCACTCAAGTATTGGGGGGCATCGACTTTTACCAATTTTCCAGTATGATTATAAACTATGATATGCTTCTACCGAACTTTGTTCACGCCAAATATGAGCTTCAGACTAATGAATTCCCCGATATTTTCTGCAGATATCTGATTATGAGAAGGAAATTGAAATTATGCAGACTGTCACCAAAGAAGAGTACCTAGCCTCTCTAAGAAGGTATTATTTCACCATCTTATGTGACATAATTCAGGTTTGCAAGCAACAAATGGATCTAAACCATCTAAACTTGTCAACTGCAGAAAAAGCAGTGGCTTTTCAAGAGGAGTATCGAAGTACAGAGGAGTTGCCAGGTATATTATGAGATCATTATAATAAATCAATTTCTTTTTTGAAGATTTTTGAGGATTATCCTAAACACAAAATAAATGCAGACACCATCACAATGGAAGGTGGGAAGCAAGGATAGGGAGAGTTTTTGGAAATAAGTACCTCTACCTTGGCACTTACAGTAAGTCACCCCAAAAATAATAGCCCAGAGATATTAGTAGTAAAACAGAAGGAAAATATTTATAATTCCATGTCTCTGCATTTTTAAGTTGTATATTTGCCTACAGGTACACAAGAAGAGGCTGCTCGTGCATACGATATTGCTGCAATTGAGTACAGGGGGGTAAATGCTGTCACTAATTTTGACTTGAGTACCTACATCAGATGGTTGAGGCCAGGAGCGAATAATTTGGTTTCTGCTCAGGAATTAAATTTAAGCCAAGAGTCGCAAGCATTATTACCCCCTTTTCGTTCATGTGAAGAATCCTTGTCCCCTTGCTCAAAAACTAGAGCCTTCAATGTAGATGACCCGAGCAAGATGGAAAAGTTTGAAAGAAAAATCTCAGTTAGTCCATGCAGCAAATCGTCTTCTCCAACAGCACTTGGCCTGCTCCTTCAGTCTTCAATATTTAGAGAACTGGTTGAGAAAAATTCAAATTCATCAGAAGAAAATGACGATGAAAACACCAAGATCATGCTAGAGGTGAGCAGGGATGATGAATATGGAGGAATATTTTATGATGGAATTGCAGATATTCCATTAGTGCTTTCTTCTAATGGCCATGGAATTGAATTGCAAGGACATGTTCATTTCAATCATAATAGTGCAGACATGATTGGGAACGACGTTATAAACATGGTCCCTATGTGTTAAATAACAAATAATGTTGGAAAAGCAACTATGTACAAACAATATATTACAGAACTTTTCTTTTTGCGATTTTGCACAAAGATTGATGAAGCAGGCTCAATTTTGCTGTTTTAAATTTCTAGGACCTAGTAAAGAATAAATGTTTGTTAGCATATGTATACGCCATCAAGTTGAATGGAAATTTTAAGTCATGATAGCATTTTCTTATTGTGCAACATAAATTGTTCCCAGTGAGTCTACGATTCAATCATCCTTGCACATATCTTGCTTCTTTAGAAAAGAAATGGAGAAACAGAAAGAGAAGCGCAAAGTGTGGAGAAAGAAGAAAACAAAATTGTTAGTGCTCTATGAAGAAAGAGAAAGTTGTCAAATCTAACATTACTCTGCCCAATAATTGCCAAAAGAAAGTCATCTCTGTCATTTGAATTATTTAAAAGAACAAATGTTCGTTTCAACAATTTCAAGGACCGGTGAAGTTATCTGTTCCTCTTGAAGAAGTGGATATCATTTCTATAAATCCATTCATGTGGTTAACATTATAACTAATGTCATCAAAGGTCAATTTAACACGTAAAATCATTGTATTTGGGTAATCTAAATCCACAGCCTTGAATTCTAATAGCCAGAATCAAAACAGTTAGAAAATCAATTAGATTGTAACAAGAATTAGGACATGGGGAAATGGAGCACGGAGTAGTTAGAAGTTATTGTAAACGCCTCTTTTGTTTTTCTCGAATAGATTTGTAATTTAACAATGCCAATGATTTTTGAGTGGCATAAGAATCGCCTATGCGCATCTCGAATTTGGCTTTTTAGTAGCATATGAGTTTGTAATCTTGACATATTGATTCTTAACATAAAGACATTGTCTAATTTTGCAACCAATGCACATGGGATTCGTTCTATACAAGGTTAGACATAGTAATCCCATACATTGTGGGATTGCAACCAATGCACTTGGGAGAGAGAGAGGTATCTGTTCCCCAGATTCCGACACATTTAATTTAGCATAGAATGAAAATCTGTGTATACAAATTATATACCTCAGGTATAAACTGTGCAGCATTTCAAGATTGACCAGAACGTTTCGAAAATGTCAGAGTTGATTCCATTGAAGTCATCGCCAGAAGGAGCTGCGTGGAGTAAACAAACAAACTCAGTTCCCACTTCAATTAATAACACAGAAAACAGCATAAATGGATGAAGAATCCAAGAAAATGCTCAAATGTGACTTTATTATGCCTGTCTTTTCATTCCCGTCAATTTCCTCTTACTGCTGTTTTTTTCTATGCTAGTCCATATTTCACATAAAAAAAGAAAGAAAAAAAAACGATTCGTTTACATCGCATTCTTGTCTGTGTCCAAAATCTACTTCTTTACAATTAAAGACAAGACATAATAAAACCAAAAGAAGAAAATGTTAGAATCACACATGAAAGTCATCACATTCTTAAAGGCTAGACGGATAAGAAGCAGGAAATTGCCTAGGAAGAAATTGGAGAAAGAAAAGCAATCAAATATGGCATTGACAATGACTAATAGTGATGAGAATGCTGGAACACGTAATGTGCACAGAGCGCAGTATAGACAGTGATCTGTCACCTGAACCAAGGTGTATTAAGCGTAGAAAACATGATACAGCTGCTGCTGCTGCTGCATTTAGCAGTGGAGGTCAACTGATAAAACAAGAAGTCGGTCCAACTGCTCCAACAAGTGAAAAGAGTTCAAGATTCCAAAGTGTAAGCAGGCATAAATTGGAGACAAACTTTTACCTTCATTTGATTTTAATCTTCTGAAATTCAACCAATACAACCATCAATGATAGCAATTCTAGAAGGATTTTGCAATCAACACACCTCTGATCAATGCAGTAATTAATATCTACCATATCAAGGAAATAAATTGACAGCATAACACTCCATGTAGGTCTATCCCGAACAGACTCCTTTGAAATTCCATCAAATACATTCAGTGGGTACTAAAGAGAAACAACTGGAAAAATTAAAATCCAACCAATCACCAGATGATTGACAATGCAGGTAGCATCTACTCTCTGCTGAATTGAATTTCGGAGTACGAGTACAATTAAGCTTATTGAAATTTTAATTCAAAACTAAATTTTGCAACAAGCACGAGAAATAAAAAAAAAAGACATTATACAAAAAAATTAAGGTGCACAAGTACTATCTGTTAAATCTGGAATTCATACATCGACACAGATCAAGAAATTTTACTCTCTTATATGGCAAGCCAAGATAATATTAAATGACGGAAGAAAATCAAATAATGCAGCAGATATTGACAGAGAACCATTAATATAAATGATCTCAGAATCAACTTTTATAAGTAGTATTGTGCAAGTCCTCTCAGACAAGCAAGATTTCAATTGAGTTGCCAAAACTAATGTGTCACCGTCAATTATTATGGAACTTGATGCATGGTTCCATAGTTTACTATTTCAAAGCAAAGAAATACAATTAAGGATCCACGAAGTGTCAGGCCAATATATCACACAACAGAGATAGCACATTGCTAAAATAGATATGAATTTGAAAACAAACCATAGCGAAGTTAAACAGCATTTTATTTTTCTTGACAAACTGAATAAATTCTCAGATTTTTGTATTTTACCTCTCTACTAGAAATACAGGTGTCGTATTGTTTCGAACATACAAAGCCTAACGCATTCAAAAAATTCAAAACTGTTTCCTCTTGTTTTGGAACAGTTTGTCTCTTTTTGAATAAACATAAATCAAAGCAAAGCAAACTCCAGCAGACATGGAAACAGACGTCCATGGAAATGGTGGGTCCTTGAAACAAACAAGTGAAGCCTCCAACTCTTGAGATGCATGATAAACGAGAGAGTGGATGGCATATAGATCATGATCTGAAGACCTCAAATAGTACAAAGCCATATCAAAATCGAAGTGTGACAATGCAGAGATCACCTTGTCCAGTTTATACCTGAACAAATTCCACCTCTGTCTAAACTCGGTCTGCTGATTCCGCTTAAGAAGCTTTCTATCTCCACCATGAGCAGCAATTGATTCAAGAACATCAATAGCACTAGTAATACTGTAATTCAAAGACGTTAATAGAACATTCCTCCTGGCAGCATCCTTCTGAACAAAAGACAACGAAGAAGTCTCTGAGAACGGCCCAAACGGTGTCTGTCCAACACTCCAAGTGTAGTCCACAAGAGTACTGTTATGCCTAGGACTCCACACCATATGTGTGGGTGAGACACCCCACATGCTCTGCAAAATAGAACCTACAAGAGGCCTCTCGATCTCCCGAACCTGTGTGAACACTTGATGCCCATTACAGCTGTAATCACTCACTGTGTGTGAACTTTTTGTCCTGACTGCGATAACCATATCCTTAAATGCAACAGACTGATGATACCGATCAAGCAACAATGTTGTACTGACATCAAGATCAAAAACATACACAGAAAGAACCCTCCCAAAGTCCTCCTCTGGAAGCTTGGCTATCCTTCCAAACTCCTCCCTCGATTCTGATATTGTCTGATGCAAACGCTTTGAGTCCAAATACTCACTCACAATCAAAGTGTAGTTATCAAACAGGTACCTAGACGTGTACGAAGTGGTTGCCCTAGAAATGGCGAATGAGCAAATCAAGCACTCGGATAACTTCACATCATATTTCCTAAAACTCAAAGACTGATCCCCCAATAACAATCCATTGTCATTAACCTCATCCATAAAAGTCCTTTCTATCAACTTCCAATCCAACCCAGAATTACTTCCTTCAGCCTCAGAAGCATGTATGTGTACAAATTCAACAATCAAGGAATTCTCGAAAGGCACGGGAATTCTCAAAGAGGGCACCAGTAGTACCTGATAAGCACTCCAAACCAAGGATGCCAAATCAGAAAGCAATGCATTTTGGGACTTGGGTCGGCCATGGAGAGCAGCCAACGGGTGAAACTCACCTTTTGGCAAAACTCCATCGCCTGACAAAGCCGGCCCGTAATCCACAGGACCAGCCCCCAAATCAATCCACAAATAACGATCTTTTCCCGTCCAAACGGAGCCCAGACATTTGGTTAAAGCTAGGGAGGGATCACCAGGGGTGTAGCTGTAAGCATAGGGTTTAGACTGGGAACCCAGATGAATAATATAAACGTGGATCGAGTTAACGGGTTTCTCCTTTTCAAAATCCTGTTTAATAATTTGATCTACAAGCGAGTAAGGAACGGACGAAAGCGAGGCTCGGAGTGGGGAGGGAGAATTAGAGAGGTGGGATTTAAGAGCTGTGGAAATAGAATTGGAGATGGAGGTGGGTGAAAGGGATACGTCAAGGTGAAGGGAATGAGACAGTGAGAGGTGATGTGTGGCAGGAGAAGTGGAAGTGAAGGGAGTGATGACGTGGAACAGATCGGAGGTGACGGCGGAGTTGATGAAGGAAGAGAGAAGGGAGGGAGAGGAAGAGGAGAAGGTGGATCCCACCAAGTGGACAGTGATGGGCACAGATAGCTGGAGAGAGAGGAGGGAGGATGGGGTGGCGGGATGGCGGGGGGAGGGGTGGGAGAGGGGTTTCTTCAAGGAGGAAGGGAGGGAAATGAAGGAGTCATTGGTGGCTTGAGGGTCTTTGCGGGATTGTTGGGTGAGGAAGGAATCGAGGCCTAAGATTGGAGCTGCCGCTGAAATGGTTGTGGTGGTGATGAAAAGGAGGAGGAATACAGCGGCGGAGGGCATTTTTGCGGCGGAGATGAGGGTTGCGGCCTTGGGGGATTGGATTTGGGGGTGGTCAGTTGACGGAGCTGGGGTGAGGAGAGTGCTGACTGCTGAAGTTGTTAATGGGAAGTCGAGAAAATGAAGTGGAAAAAAATACGAAAGAATTGCAGTTTACTTCACCGATCTATTGGAAATGTATCAATTAGGTATCCGATCTATTGTATTGTAAGGGAGAGTCCTAACCTTTCATTTTTGTAGCATTTATATCCCATTGACATTTTACCCTTATCCTTGATAAAAAAA